CTTCAACCCAGACAGACCCTCAGACAGCAGATGCAGCTCTGCAGGTGTCAGGCTGCAGGGAGTGCCTGGGGCCTTTCTGTGAGGCCTGGGCTGACAGTCAGCTCTCCTGTGCAAGGTGTGCTGTGGTTGACCCTTTGTATTGCCAGATAAAGGAGCTGGGGGAGGAAGTGAGCAGGAAGTTAGCAGTCCCTCTTCTAACCTCAACCATTCTGTGATTCTGTGAAACCTCCTGTTGTCCCCTGTGTCACAGAGAACACCACTAAAAGTACAGGATACAATGAGTTCTTTCCCACGTCTTCTTCCAGAGCTGGGAAAGGAGTTTTTTCAGCCATGAAGCTTGGCAAGACGCGTCCACCAAAGGATGATCATCAGAAGCAAGGTAGGTGCTGGGAGGAGGTTGTTCCCTGATCCAGTACTGCTGTTCCAGGAAAGCCCCTGGTTCCATCCACTTATGGATGAGACCGACCCTGACCCCTCCCCCCCGGCCCTGTAAGTGGCACACATCAACGCTGTTGGTAACTCAGGGATTAGACAGGGAGCATTTGGTGGACAGGGTGAAGGCTGGAGAGAGGGTCTCCATGGGGGAATCTGGGAAGCAGGGATAGATGGAGAGAGCCTTACACTGAAGTGAGGCCAGCCTCTTCTCCGGGGGGCCCAGCAACAGGACAAGAGGCAATGGGCAGAAACTGAACCACAGGAAGTTCCATCTGAACCTGAGAAAAAACTTCTTCACTGTGAGGGTGACAGAGCATTGGAACAGGTTGCCCAGAGAGGTGGGGGAGTCTCCTTCCCTGGAGATATTCAAAACCCGTCTGGACGTGATCCTGGGCAATATGCTCTAGAGGACCCTGCTTGAGCAGGGAGGTTGGACTAGATGATCTCCGGAGGTCCCTTCCAACCTAAACGATTCTGTGATCTGATGTCTGGAAAAAAGCTAGTAAACTCTGCAGAAATGTGACTATGACATATTAGAATGAACTAATACATGAAAATAATAAGTTAGCCTGCAATCAACTAATGTATCAGGCCTTCCTCTTCCTTAGTCATTTCCAGTGGGTAAAATCCCAGTTTACAACAGACTGATTTTCTCCTATGAAATTTTTCTCACTTCTATTATTACTGATTTAATGTTCTTTCTCTACAGTATTTCTGATTCTTTGTTGCACTGAGGCCTCCCAAATAAGTTATGAGTAAATTTTCTTAGCCAATTCCTGCCTTTTGTGTCAAAGTTAATGAACATATAAAAGAGATTAGTCATAAGAGTGCTTACTGGTGAACTTCATTAGTAATCTCCTCTCATCCGATACTTTCTCCTTCAACGCTGCCTGATGTGTTCGAGTTCCTGGGCACCTCAATTCAGCCATTCAGTTCCTGGGCACCTCAATTCAGCCTTTGCTTAAGCGGTTAGTTTACAAAAGTTTTCCTTCTGAAGTTTGTTGCACATCTACTTTACATTAACTTTTCATTATAATTTGCAGGAATTGAACTTGTTATCCATGAACCTAAAGCTATTTCCTATTATCAGCTCTGCTATAACGTCCTCATGACTTACCACAGCCAAGTCTAAAACAGCAGCATTTCCTGTCACTCCAGTGAATCTCTGGCGGATATTTTTATTGACTAGAAATGCAGGAATATCTCTGATGTACTAATAACAGCATCAGTAGTGCTCCAACCCGTTTCCTGTCATTAAATTATCCCATAACAAATACTGCAGTAGTAGTTATTTCTCTAATAACATTATAGAACTCTCTTGGCAGAATAGGATTCTGGTGGCATATGGCATGCTGACAGTGGTAATCTTTTACCAGTCTCTGAGTTGTGCCGTCATTAACACATATTGCTACATTCTGCCTTTTCCTGAACAGCAGCTACTGGCTTTAGAGTACCCATGATTGCTGCTGCAGGACGATAACACTGTTCCAATGCACTTGTTCATATCCCGGATCAGTAGTTCAAGCTCCTCCACAAATCTTGCTGCATTTGTATATCCATTTTTTTTTGTCTTTTCCTCCCTAGTCCTTCACCAATACCTTGCTTCAGCTACTACTTTCTTTTCCTTTGCTGACTCTGGGATATTCCTTTATGCACTGCCATGCCCAGATTTGCCTGATTATTCTATCTGTATGTAGTCAGGCAGAGCTTTGAGATTACACAAGTGCTTCCTAGCCTTTCCTGGTGTTTCTTTAAGGCTCCTCTTATCAACGAGGCCAACATCAGTGTTTGCAGCAGTGCTGCAGGTCCTTGGGTAATAGTCATCTACTGAGAAAATCTCTTCATTACCATATGCCAGTGCTCAGACTTCCCCAAATCGTGCTCTAACCTTAGCTGTCTGCTGACCTTCACTGTCACTCATTCTGCAGGGGCTAGAGCTATTCCACTGAACACCTGAGCATTCACTTCTTTCAGAGCCTTCCCCAACATGGCATAGTCACCCTGAATCAGCTCCAGCAGTGTCCTATCCGTCTCATTTGCTCTGATTTGAAGGACAACTAGTAGACTGCTTCCTGATCCTATTCGGAAATTTCCTAGGCTTAGATTACCATGTTTTATCCATGATCTGAGCAGAAAACACACTGTTCCTCTGATGTGTTTTTTGTCAGGTTTTTGAATCTGTGAGGTACGACACTGGCTCAAGTTTTAGAAGCAGAATAGCGTGGATTGCTGTCCTCCTGGAAGCATTAGCCTTGTGAGGAAGTGGTGTATTGTGCTAATATGATGATTCTGCTCACAGAACTTCCAAAATACTGCTCGGAAACAGCACGAGTCTTTCTATGTGAACCTCTACAAACCTAAAACCCTCTACCTCACAGTAAAACTGCTCTATTTTTTCCTGGTCATGGTCTAAGCCTCTGACCCTTTCCCTTTTATCTGCAGTCATCCTGCCTTCTCCTCTTTTTTACAGTCCCTCTACATTACCTTCATTCTTTTTCTGGCCAAGCCTTGATCTTACTTTGATAAAAATTTGTAGAGGCGAAAAACTATGCCTTCCTTTCAAAAGAGAGTCTCCAACCCATCCCAAAACACAGGGCCCTTGAATGTTTGTAGGCTGGTTCTCTGAGCAGCAGCAGCATCACACTGGTAAATTGCTCTGACAGGTTGCTTGAGCTGAGCTGGCATGCTCAGCCATAAAAATGGAGATCTGCATACAATCCCACTAGCACCACACCATACTTCAGACCCTGAATACAGCATTTTCATTTGCCATCAACAAAGACTCACCTAATTTTACTTGAAGTGGGGACGGCTTATAGTTCATGGCTACAGTCTCTCCCTCTCTCGTATCACAATCTCTGTCCGATATTGATGCAGCTGTTGGATCCTGTTAAGAAAGAAAACGAAGGGTTTAGCTAAGAGAGTTGAGCAGTCATTTTTCTAACTGGCTGTTAGGAGAGTCCCCACCTGCAATCAGAGGGAACAGAGGATATGTTTCTGTTTCAAAGGACTGAAATCTAGGAGCAAAAGACAGGATTTTGGAAGCACGTTGAGTACGCTCAAAATACCTCTGGAAATGTCAGCTTTCACCATCAGACTTGCATGATGGATGACACTGGGAATATAATATGAAGGGGAGGGTCACCAGTTCAAATTCAACCCGGGCTGGCAGTAGTCCAAAACCATTTTCGTGTGTTGACGATTTGGTCTGTTGGTATGAAATGCATTTGCAGTTTCAGCCCAGTTCCAAGTGGACCAGCCAGTCTTATGGTTAAAACTAAAAAGCTCCTGACTAGCCGCGTGAAAGTCCAGCTTGGAAGGAACAAAGACTAAGTAAGTATGAGAATTCAATCCCTGGTCCCTCTTGGCAAAGACTGAAGAAGTTTATACTTCCCATGCTGGACCTATTTTGTGGCTAACTGAAAAGATTAATTTCAGTATCTGTCAACACAGCACCTTACACCACCACCAAAATCCTCCGTTAAAAAAAAAGCTCCCAAAACACAAGGTCTGCTCTAGTAGGCCTACTTGCAGACAGTCTAGCCCAAGTAGTGTGCTCTATGGTATAGTCTCTCTCTGAATCCTCTAATGCACAAACTACCAATTCAGGCAGTTCCATCACTGATAAAAATATTAAAGTCCTTTCACTGCAAGCTTCAAACATGTTGGAACTGCCACGATTCAGCACCACAGTGAAAATTAAAATCAGTTGTCAAACATTTCTGCTTCTTCCCATCTAGAAGCTAGAAACTAAACCGAACATACATATGTTTATATGCATATAGAAAAATCTCATTTATAATAGGCAGCTGTACAGGGAAAATATACATTCAATATTAGGTTCAAATATCTGACGAAATCATCACTTCACAAGAAATGGAACAAACCTTCAGAAACTATGTAGGGAACACCATTCCAAGCTGGCTAATTAAGATTTTCCATCTCTCAGTTTCTAGAGTGTGTATTTACAAATTTTCTTATAAAAATGCACCCCGTGATTTGGCACTGACATCTGTAGGAAAGAAGTCAGAGTTTCAAAGCAAGGGACCATCCCCTCAACTCAGAAAAGAAAAATCACTCAGTGAACTACCTTCCCTTCCTCCCCAGTGCCTTCTCTTTGCAGTGCACATCAGCTCTTTTTAATATACTGTGCTTATGAAATAAAATATGATTTTCAAATTAGGCTCTGTTTTCATAGCAACTGGTCAAATATCACCGGTAGGGTGATAATGTTTCAGTGAAATTCTGCTCCTTCAAACTCTCCAGTAGACTTTCTTTGACAGTACTTAAAAAGGACAGTGCTTACAAGACTTTACGTTCAATGACACCAAATAAGTAACTTTTAACCTCACAGGATTTCTTCTTCTTAACGCAACCACTGCTGCGAGGAATGTGGTAGTCGTTTAACGACAGGGTGATAAAGGTTAGAGTAGGTTGCAAACAAACGAGGTAGTCTCCAGGAGAACGCAGTTAGGCATGAATGATGAATCACATGGATTTTAAGCTAAAAGTTCTACTTTTATGAAAAGGAATATTAGATCTTTAACAACAACACGGAACAACTGAGCAATAATACAGCAGCTGAAATTAAATGAAGATAAAAATGAAGTGTGGCACACAGAAGAAAAACAGTCCCAACTTTACATTTGAAAATGAGGAGCTCTACCTAGCTACTGTCCCTCAAGGAACAGATTTGGATTATGGGAGATAATTCTATGAAAACATCAGCTCAGCACTCAACAGCAGTGAAGCAAGTCAGAAATCAGGAAAGGAGCAGAGGTCATGCAGAAAACCTCATAACAGCACTGCGTATACAGGGGTGTGCCTCCATCTTCAATACTTCCATCCTCCTGCCAACCCAAAAGCAGTACAGCGCCCTTAAAAAACGGTTTGGAACAGGGAGCCCAGGATAATCAAAAGGTGTGCAGTGTCTTCCATTAGGCGACCAACTGAGCAGCCTAGGACACTTCAGTTGGGAAGAGACAACTGATGGGGGATCCGAGAGAAGTCTAAATAGTCCCGAGGGGGATGCCAATGTGAATACGGATCACCTTGCCTTTGTTTTCTACAACACAAGAACAAGATAGCATCATCAAGTGGCAATTAACATGGCAGCAGCTGGAAACCAACACCGTACTTCTCCCTGCAACAGATGACATAGTACTGTAGATGCTAAAAGGGCTCAGGAAAGGGTGCGCTAAATGAATGGAAGAAACATCCATCAAGGGCTATTAAACATAAAAGCGCTGCTTCTGGCACAGGGAGCCCCTGAGCCACCCATCGCTGGAGGCTGCGGAGTGAACTGGGGGCAGGACTACGGGCTCACCCTGTTCTTGTCCTCTTGAAGACAGGACATTGGGGTAGGTGAGACCTTTAATCTGAGCTGAAATGGTGATTTTTATTTTTGGTGTCAACCTCTTATGATCTCAGTTGAAGACTGGCTTTCTCAGCATCTTTGTAACATGAGATCGGTCTTTCAAGCACGCCCGGCTGAATGTGCTGGACCAGAATCCAGGCTGTATGAAAGGATGTTCCTGGGAATGGCCAGACCGTAGGAAGGACAGCGGTTTTTCAGCCACACCAGGACTTCACTGAGAGGGGATGTGTAAGGTGGTCTAGCTGGCAGCCCATGACCTGAGTCCAGGCTTCCAGCATGAGAACCTTCTCTCTGATGTTTTGGGAAAAGGTAGGATACAGCTATTTTTAAAGAGCCTGATTCCAAGAGTTGGATGCCTCCAGCAAGCCCTTGGAACCACAATCTGCTGCGTGCAGACTGAAGGAGGACATGGGAGCAGAAATATTATAGTAAAGGATATGATGCGATGGCTGCATATCACCTTCCTCGCCTGCGTGGTCAGGCACTCCGACCTGTGAGCTCCCACACGGAGGGAGCCCACAGCCAGCATTTCACATGGCAAGGAGGAGACCCTGCCCCCTGGACTAGCTCACGTTTAAACTGTTTATGCTTTAATCCCTTTAAACTGAAAACAGCCCCTACTTTACTCAGAAATTGCTGGGTAACCTGCCAGAGATGTCAGACATCCAGTTTGCATGGAAAGTGGGAGTGGGGAAAATGTTCTTAAGTGCCTCTGAGGATCTGAACTCCGGACTTGAATCTGGACTTGCTCTACTCAACTGCAGCCATCTCAAAGTTGGGGTCCAGTCTAAACAACTAGATAAGGCTTACAGACCATCAGTGAAGACAGAGAAGATTTTCAAAGAGTCATTCATTCTATGCTATCTTAGACACCACAAAAGGAGATGAATCAGTCCCTGGAGGTCTCTCTCCCTTGACTAGAGAGGAGGCCTAACAACTGATTGAGGTTGCACCCTTGACTAGACATCAGGGAAGGTTGGAATGATGAAAGACACACTGGCAGAGCCTACAACAAAGCCAGTTTACACCAGGAATTCCTTTCTGAGGTTTGGAATGACACTTCTCCGCCTCAGCTCTGTGAACTGCACCTCTGTAGCACGCTCGGGTGGGAATACGTTTCTGCCTTACAGCAGATATATCGCTAATGCAAAGGGATCACAAAGCAACTGCAGGGGCTGAGCCATCATCATGGCAGCACATAGGCCAGGTCCTCTCCCTCCAAGGTTTAAAACAGAGGTAAAAGGAAAACTGAGCTCGGCCAGAGACAGCTTCCCTAATGCTAGCATGTATTTACTCCTGCCCGTGAGCGCAGAGGCCCAGTGATATTTCCTATCCATCACTTCCTATACATTCTGCAGCAACATACAAGACTCCATAGTAACAACCTTGACTGCAAAAACGACAGAATTCCCATGGTAGTTTGGCTAGAATTGCCTCTTTGAATGAACACATTTTGCTTTTATGCCTACTGAATATGTGCGTTTTGCTACATATATGTGACCTACCCAGAGAAAAATTGACTTGACTAATTAGACTTTTGCTTGTGAATGCCTATGAGCACAATGAAATTTTACCATGTGCTTTTGCTATTAAAATTTACTTTGCAATTTTATTTTTCTTTATTTATTTACAAGCCTCTCTGGACTGATGCTGAGACCCCAATGTCAAAATTACAGCTATGCGGTGTGACTAGTCCCAGGCCAGATAACGTGATTTCTCTCTGCTCACTGGGTGGAACACAACGCTCCCAATCAAAAGCAAGTGCTGAGCTGTGCCTACAGGGGCTCTAAACGGCTCTGGGAATTTAATACGTTTTAGGTTTTTCTGTTCCTGAGCCCTCCTTATGTCTTCGTTCCTAGGGAAAAAATACATGCAATCAGGCCATGGCAAGAACACTTGGCTGGGGCCAGAGTTTTAATCAAAAGTTTTCTCCCCATAGGCTCACGGCTTAACTGGGCATGGACAGTCACAGCATCCAAATGGTGGGGCAGTTCCTGATTAGTTTGGCTTATTCTACAGGCTTGACACAGTGGACCTTGACAACTCTGCCCTCCTGCTAGGTACAGCAAGATCCTACCATGTGCACAGTATGCCATTTCTGAACATCGGAAATTAGTTCCAGCGAGCCTTCATGGAGCAGAAGTAGTGCGAACCCTTGGTATGAAGGGGCACTGAGAAAAGCCAAAACCACTTTAAAATTAAATCAGGAGTTTAAGGAATATGGTGCACACAGTGAGGTTTTTCTTCTTTTCCTCCTTTTTTCCCCTTCCCTTTTTGCAGTACTTAGCAAGAAACACAAGATCTGCTGTAATGCACCAGGCCAACAGTCTTTTTACTGTTATCACCATCTGCCTTTCCCAAAAGCCCACACTGACTATGGCAGGAGATAACCCCAAACAACTAGCAAACTGGGCAGTGTTTTACCCTGAGCAACGGAGCTGGGCTCTAGGTACAATCACATCCTTGTAGCACCTTTGAAAGTGCAGCTTCCTTTCCTTTCCTCCACAGTCCTCTGGCATCTTGCAAGCTTAACAGCTCTCTGCCTTCCACCCTGTAACTCCCCCAGGACCCCCACGCATGAGGAAGAGAATTGGCACACGCAGTTTCTGTGGCTTTAAGATGCACCGTAAGTAGAGCTGAAAACAGATGTCTCTGTCTGCCCACCCTTCCCACTCAAGATCAGTCATATTTATAGCCACAGAAAAATACTGCTCAATACTCTGCTCTCTACGAGAAATCTGGTGACCATTAAAGTAGCCCTTTTTTGGATAAGACAGAGGGAGAACATTGCCCTTAGCCTCAAATCTCAAGGAAAGAACTAATATACAGGGCTTTACCCATCACTTCTCTATACAGTTCAGATGCATTGGCTTGATTATCAAGAGCTGAATCGTTACAAGCTGAATGCTCATTACTTTGTCTTTCCCCAGCACCAGCTGATGATGTGCTTGCTCTCCTCTGCTCAGCTTAAAGACTCTGAAAGCCTTGGTGCCAACACGTGTGTGACAGCCCACAGTGAACACTCACAGGGGCTCCTGCTTTCCGAGGCTGCCCATGTGGGTCACGCACTCCAGACAAATGCTAACAAGAAAGTTCAGGCTCAAGTGTTTTGCCTATTTTTCAAGTCAAACACAGAGTTTGAAAATTCGATAAACGTTCTGTGCATGAGACTGAGCCAGTAAACAAAATGACAAGTGAGAAACCACGTGTACCTCAAATACAGGGGGTAGATTCAAGTCACTGAGGGGTTTCTGTCATTCCTATGTTGTCATCCTAGCCTCTTGGGCTAGGAAACTGCTCCCGCTAATAAATATTTATGCCTTCAGTCTCTCTGCCCCAAGAACAGAAAACGATATGCCATTCACAGATTCACTCTGCCTCGAGCTGTACCACGTTAGGTAGTCCTGAAAAACGCAGCTTTAGACAGCAAGCTTCCTGGGGAAGGGACCTTGATGTGCCTCTGCAGCCTCTAAGTATCACTACAATATAAACTTTAAATGTCTATAAGCACGGAGTGCTCAAGAAAACATTGAGAACCAAAACATACATAGTTGATGTGAAACACAGTATAAAAGGAGAGGCACACAGGATGTGAGATTTATAGTGCATCAAGTTGAAACAGTACTCGCAAGTTTTGCGAGAGAAAGGAAAGTGTCAGAGGGGGCTGTCAGGCAGGAACGTAACCTACAAACCTCACAAAAGGCTCTCCTATCCTCTGCTCCGCATCCCCCAGGCTCCAGCTTAAACATCCAGTTTTGGAGCCTGTATTTCAAGAAAGATGTGGTCCCCTCAGCTCCCCTATGGATAAAAGCTGGAAGTTCTGACCATCAGGGAACACCAGAGGAATTGGGTTGCTTAGAGAAGAAAGGGGAATGCTAGGGAGGAATGTAACAGCTGTCTTCAGATACAGGAAAGGCTGCCACCAAGAAAAAAGGATTAATTTTCTTTTCATCTGTCTGATTCAGAGAACAAGAAATGAGTACCTTACGTTGCACCAAGGTTGCAAGGAAATATTAGGGAAAACCGTACAGAGGTAAGACCGAGGAACTGCTCAATTGCCTGACGAAGCTGTGCAATCCCTGTTCCTGGAGGCTTTTAAGGCTAGGTTATGAACAGATTTGTCAGGCAGAAAGTCAGTAGACCTGATCTGCTTTTGGGACAAGATGATCTGGTTTTGAAGCAAGCTGATAGGAGGGTCCATGATCCTCGTAGGCCCTACTCAGCCCTCCTTCCTATCTTCCTCTGTTTGTTAGTCTTACTCAACTTCTTCATCCTTTTTCTTCTAGATGTAGATTCACCTTCATTGCCAGCTAACTATGGTCCCGCACATACTTCTTATGTATTTGAAGACAAGGATTTGTTTTTCGCTTGGGTTTTTTTTGTTTGTTTGTTTTCTTGTGGAACATTTAATAGGTGTGAAGCAATGATCTAACTGAGTCTTAGTCAAATGGGTTTAAATAACAGGAAGAGATTCAAGAGCTCATACTACTTTTGTGAATACAGATTCTAAAGCAGGGTTCTGGAGAAATTCTCAAATTCTAGAGAAATTTCACACATATATGAAATACGAAACAAATAAGGACACACGAATTGTCTTACTGAGTCAGACCAGAGGTCCAGTAAGCTCAGTATAAAATTGTAGAAGAACTCATGAGCCAAACTCTTGGTTAGGAAGGAGCAGAATAACATGGCAGTAGTAGGTTTCTATAGCCCTGACACCTCCAAGTGGCAACATAAGCAAAGGCAGACCTTGTATTTATGCAAAAAGAGATTTGAGAAGATAAATGACTTACGGGAATTGGTAAGAAGGCATGCCTGCACACTTAGACAGTCTACTAGTAGGCCAGAAGTGACTGGTAACAGTCATCTATAGTGGCTATGAGGTGACCTAAGTTCTGTAATTTATCTGGTTTACAACAGACAACGTTCAGGTGACAAAGCAACTGATGCTCCCCTGACCTAGGAGTTAAGCAGTGCTA